GTAATATTTTTTATTTTCACATGTACATGGGATTTGGTATACGACGTTTTTTGTCTTCCACTTGTTGTTTTTTTTTACATGAATTTATTATTATTTAGTCTAGCAAAAAGTTTTGTATACTTTGGGGCAAGTTTTACATTGGTATGCCTTATCTCTTTATTGATTTTTTCGTATGAACCTTCAATATAATGGAATAGAATATATTTATGTTTATTTTTTTTTTTCATTTTATCTGGGAGTCTTTTCATTTTCTATTTTAATCGTTTTAGAATTCACTTCTTTGTTATTATTTATGTTATTATTTATTTTATCTTCCCAAGTTTTAAGTAGTCTATTAGGATATCCATTTAACTGGAATTTTTTCTTCAAGTTATTAAAACTATTATCTATGTCTGTACGTTTACTAGTTCTATTTTCAATTTTATTATATTCCATATAAAATATATTTTGTTTTATGTATAGTGATATATTTCAATTATATTTCACTGTTGTTTGTGTTGAAGAAGATTTTTTAAAAGACTTAAATTCGAATTTATTCTTTTTTCTTATAATTGTAATATCTAAGTAATTTATCTCTTAATTAATTATTTTTCTTTCTTTTCTGTTGTAAATTGTATCGTTTTGGATATTCTATTAATTACTTCCTTTATTTTGTTATAACTTAACTTGTGTTTTTCTGTATAGAATAAAAATTTCATCCACCTATCTCCTATAGAAGATATCGCTAGTAATAAATAAAACTTAAGTAACAATTCCTGATGATATTTTAAAAGTTATATACAAGGGTCTGGACTATAATGGCCCTAATAGATGGGAAGTGTTACCAATAATCCCAAATTTAGATCCTGCCTCTAATCACTTACCAGAAATGGAAGTACAGGTAGCAAAATCAACTAAAAATGATGGAAATAAAGCCAAGTGTTTATTTATAACTCAAATGTGAGTTTGAAGTTCAATATATCCGCAAAACACAGTTTCGAAAACAACATATATCTAATTGTTTAAACAAAATCTCGTGAAAAATGGCATATCACACGATTGTAGTTATTTACTTTAATTAGTAATACAGAGGTTTCTTTTAAATAAAATTTTATGAAAACTGAAATGGTTTCATAACTCGTTTCTAGATTTTTATTCAAGCAAAGAAAACAAGAATATCATTTTACAATAGTAAAATAGTGTAATATTGTACAATAATTAATAATATTAATGTTTATCTAAAACAGTGAAACAGTAAAGAACAAACAAATCTTCGAAATTTTACAATGAACTTAACTGTTTATACTTATAAAAATAATTTATAAAAAAAAGCCGATACAAAAAGTTAGGTAATATTTGAAAATACAGTGTAATCAATAAGTAAGTATCTGACTAAGGTTATCATAGATACACATACTCTTCCTGTAATCAAGTTTAGCCTATTTATACCATTTCTTCAACAGGAAAGTTGTTGAGTTATTTACAGCAGTGTTTTTCAACCTGTGGGTCGCGACCCCCAAAGGGATCGCGTAGCCTTACACGGGGTCGCGGGTAAAAGAAAAAGACAAGTGTTTGTATGTCCTACACTACAATAATAAAAACTCTACAATTTCAGTGAAAAGGTTCTACCTGTTTATTTTACAGTAAAATCGAGGTTTCGCTCGATATTTAGGTTTCAACGGAAAAAAATTAAATACGTAGTTTTTAAAATCATTGGTATAGTTTTAATATGGCCCTGGGGAGTCGCAAGAATTTTTAACTTGTAAAGGGATCACGTATTCACAAAGGTTGAAAAGCACTGCTTTAGAGTAAGTAGTTGTATAACTTGAAAACAATAAATGTAAAATCGAACTTTCTATATTTTTTGAGTAATAAATTATAAAATGTACCGTTAAACAAATTTATTTGTGAAGAAAACAGCACTTTGAAAATACATACCTTTTTTGTAATGACAACGGTTGTGAACAACAGATAGAATGTGAAACACTTACATACCAAACAGGAAAATTATTGGCTGTAAACACTGTTGCAAATAAAATATATTTTCTTGTTATTCTCACTTTTTGAGAGTTTCGAGTGCATTTTGTTGAATAAAAATAAGTACTGTAAATTATAATAAATCTGATATAGGTGTATATTGAGAAGGTAAAGACAAGATATACCATTTAAGAAATAGTTATACAGTACTCCATTGAATATCAGTTTCCATAATTGAAAATAAAAAATTTTGTAAAACTTATTTTCAAAATATGTCTTATGTATCTAATCGCTGACGTATAAGATTTTATTTTCGCGTGTTCTAAAATTTAGGACAAAAACTAAAATTTCGAAATTTTCAGAAAGTTCATTTTGTTGAATTATACTTTTTAAAAACGCAAAGAAATAGTAAACGTTATGAATATTAAACAAAAAAACTCAGTACAACTTAGGAGCGATATTCTGCAGACGAAAATTAGAAGTAAAACTAATAAATATATAAAAAAGTGTAAAGTTAACACATTTAATTTTTTATTAAGTAACTATTTTTCGAAAATAGCCATTAATTGTTCATTGACTGTTGTTTCAATTGTGATATCTTTATTGACATCAATAATGGAAGAGCCCATAGAAACAGTTTGCTTACTATATGATGGATTTGCGTGCCAGAACAAAACTTCACTTGTTCTATCCATGGCTTGTTTCTGGCTATCAGAACATGCACCTAGAAACATGGAGGTTTTCCCCATATCACCCGGGCTCAGCTTTCTCTCAGAAGACAGAGTGTTTGGGATTACAGAAAACGCAATAAGGAAGAAAAAAAATCATTTACCATCCTCCTGAGTAATAGACATTATAAAGTAACATTTAGAAGTAAAGAAAGTGGACAAAGACTGTCAAGTTTTCGATTGTAAAAGACAAAAAGATGTCCTTATGAAGAAATCATCTTAATTTCATTTTTAGCTTCCTGTGTGTATAAAAAAATAATTGTTAAAAAAACTCAAACAAATAAACTGCTTGTTAGCTAAAAATATATTTACAGATCTAACAAAAGAGTATACAAGTCCCTAACAAAGCAAGAAATGCTAATGTTCAATATGAATCCATCCTTTATTTCTAAATCAAACACAATAAAACAAGCAAAATATGACGATGTAAATCGTTTATTAAACAAATATTGTGGCGATCATTTGCTACATCAGAAAAATTTGTATTTTTACACAATTATCATGGATGGGGCTGCTAATAACTATAAAGTAGATGATCCAACTTGTTAACCTATTGAAGAAGTAAGTTACGTCAATGTTTAAAATATTGCACTATTTGTAATTAATTAAAATTGGGTGCTGTATAATTTATGATGTTTATTATTTCTCTAATAATGTGTTAAAAGTTTGTTCAATTGAATATGTTGAAATTTATTTTATTAGTTTTTGTTGTTTTGGATTATGTTAGGAGTTTTGGTTCATAACAAACATTCTCCATATAAGTTCCTTGCAAAACTCACATTTAACCATAATTCGCTGCAAAACTCACACTGTTTATTCTTTAAAGTTAAATTCTTCAAACAGAGCCTCAAAATCTTTGTAAAAGAATAGAAATTATTCATTGTTTTACAAAGAGTTTCAGGCTGTGTGCAAGTAGTTTCTATGCAAACAAAGATATTATAACAAAAATTGATATAATATACTGTGTGTCAACAATAAATAGTTTTTCGAGTTTTTCCAATTGTCTTAAAACGTGAAGAGTGTGACTTTTGCATCTATACATTAATTACTACGCTTGCACTTATAGATATCATAGTATGAATATTAATCACATAATTTAACCTCTTGTACAAATATTCCAATTCCAGTGTAAAAATTTATTTCTGCGTATAGGCACACAATAAAACGGCTGCTCATTGTAATATTATTACTGCTTATTAGATATCCATATAATTATGTAAAAATTTATGTAACACTTCATAATTGTATTAGTTTTAATATATCAGAATAAAGCAATATGTAAACATTAACGAGATTTAACGATAAAATTCTTTTATACTTTAATAACAAAGACGTTTAATTTAATAGGTATGTCCAGTAATTCCAACGTGTGGAGAGTGGCTGGAATCCAGGTAAAAAACATTTTACTGTACAAACATATCATAATAGTTTATGTCTAAAATATTATGTAGTTATTTTTTATTATTTTTTTAGCATCCGTCATTTATGACATATGATAAAACAAAAACACAAGTAACAGGTGGAACGCTTTTTCCTTTATTTAAAGTTTTTCAGGACAAACTAAAATTTAAGTAAGTTGCTTGTATTTACGTTTACAAATAAAAAATATTTCTTTTGTTTGCAATGCTTGGAACGTGTTTTATACTTAATTACATTATTCAACATTGTTCTATATTCTAACAGATTAAATAGTTAGGAAAAATGTGTTTTGTTTTACTGAAGAAAAAACACAACATAGGATAATGGAGTGTTGCACTTAATTATTATATCTAATAAAATTTAGTTTTTTAAATTGCTTCAATGTTATTTTATAGTATTATAACGAATGATCTACATTTTATTTATATGAAATATCCAAAAAACGTCAAATACATTTTATATTTTTTGTCATTGAGGAAGATTATGTATATTTCTAATTATCGAATTGTATTAGTTATTTTATAGTGCACCCATTAGAAAATGATTTAGGATTTATAAACAAAACGGAACCTGAACTGGAATAGCAGGAAAACTTGCTTACCACGTGAGTAAATATAAAATATGTGTAACAAAAATATGTTATTTTCTAATATAAATATTAAACAAACACGTTATGGTTTTTTTTACCGAAAACAAGAAAATTAATTAAATTCATACTTTATATAAACCATACAATTCATCAAATTTCAAATGTTCTTAATATTCAAAAGTATAAAGTATTGTAATGGACAATGGTGTAGTAATAAAAAAACCAAACATCTATTATTAAACTATTAACTTATTTTACAGATTCTAACATACGGACTGTATATATAACACGAAATTATGTACAGAACGTATTTTATTAAATTATTATTAATTCAGATTAATTCAGCAATATCAGTTGGCTAAATCTGTTATTTATCTAACCATGTACAAAAGTTTATGGACTAATAAACAGAAATTGTTATGTCTTTCTAATCCGACCATTCACCGGGGTTCAAAAAATTGCTCAGTATCAAGTTCAATTTTCATATGTTATATTTCTCGCATTTTGGTTCCAACTTTTTCGTGGAGTTTTCCTCGGTCTAAAAAAGTATAAATTTTTGTTGTAAATTTACAACTAAAATTTTTTTAAAAATTATTTATTTTTAAAATATTTTAAAAGTAAATGATTTACAGACTATAAATTACAAACCATACTGCCCTGCTGTAATAAAAAAGAGAGACTTTATTTCAGCATTAAAGAAAATTTGTACGCGTAAAACGTATAAAAATGATAAAACCGATGAAACACAAAGTTAAATATGTGTTTACTACATGATTACTCATAAAAAATAATACAAAAATGGACAAACGAACAAAGAGACAACAGATATAAGTTTAAATTCATAAGACTAGAAGTAGCACATAGGTGTTTTTTTCATATTAAAAATAATTTCGAAAAATTCAATAATTTCTTTTAATGACAATCCATAAAATTAGCAGCTGATCTAAAAAATAAATTCAAAGAATGCATAATTAGTGAACAACATATATTGGAAACATCTGGCGTAGTATGTAAATTGTCATGCACTGTGCATATATATTGTCATGCACTGTGTGTTCATTATATTGCAGAAACGGGAAGAATGTTACGAAAAAGAATAAAATAACTTTATGCATCAGAGTGAAAAATACCTAATCACCTTGATTCACTTAGTGCAACAAAAATTATTGTAAAATTAATAAAAACATCATAATCTTATTTACAGAAACAATGTATACTTTAGAAAAATTTAAAGAACACATAGCAATTTAAATGATAACAATTTAATTATTATAGATAGCAGAATTATTCTTGATAATATATGGAATGACGTCGTACAAAAAATTAAAAAGTTGTTACCCAATTTGGGATAATTGGTTTTTGTACAATTTTTGAGTTACATTTAGATGGTTGTGAATATTTGGCGTGGGTTTTGTTTTAGACCGTACCTACTGTAAAATATTTTTATAAACAACGTAAGTCATTTTTTATATTTTATTTCTAAAAAAATGTTTTAATTGTAAAGTTACAACAAAAATCCCTTTGTTAGTTCACAAATTCATTTCAGATGGTTTGTAAATAACATATTCAGTTATTTTTCAATTCATATTTGAATACTTTCTTACTTCTACGAGAATATGAAAATGCAACATAATACCAATAATGAACTTGTAGAGCACAACGTTATTACAAGAAACACTATAGTTTGATATATTAAAATTAAAATATAAATTGAAAATGATATTTTTTTGATAATCGAGTTTGTAATTATAGAAAGCTGATGTGTTTTTATCTGGATCGGAAGTTAATTATGAACGCTTCTGTGCGATGGATTTTTCGTCTGTCTTTGGATCCCTTCCAGAAGTCTTTATTATTAAAGCACCTGATAAAATTTCTGATTGGAATTCTTTAACTAAGCCATTTTCCTTAGAAGTAAGTAACTATAATATAACTTAAACTGTACTCAACTAAAAGTATAACTATATTTCTGATGAAATAGATATGGATCGCTATATTTATGACTGTATTAGTATTCGGTTTGGCCCTACATGCAGTTCTTCAGAAAGAGTTGGTTGATGCACAAACTCGACAACGTTGGACACGTTATCGAATTTTTTGGAATATATTTTGCACATTTTTCGGGCAAGGTAAAATATACTAATTACATACATATAATATGATCGCAGAGCGTAAGTGGTATACAATATATGACCAAACGATTGCCTAAATATCTGGCTATGATATGGCTAATTAAATGATTGGTATAAAGTAATTTGACATTAGAACTAGACGTTAGGCGCCATCTCTTAAGTAAATTAATAATTATAATTAAATAAATAAATTTATTTAATGAAAATTATTAATTTACTAAAAAGATGGCGCCTAACATCTACCTCTAATGTGAAATTACTTTATACCAATCATTAAATAAGCAATATTAAAGCACCGATATTTAGGCGATCGTTTGGTGATTTATTGTATACTAATTACAGTGAAATGTAAAGTTTATCAATTAAATATATATTTGATGTTATTTAGGATTAAATGTAAACAAGGTGAAAAGGTTTGCATCCAGATTTATGATAGGAATTTGGTGGCTATCGATTGTTGTTTTGGTATGTGGTTACAGCGGAGCATTAATGTCATTCATGACGTGTCCTATAACTTAATCCAATCCAAGAGATTTTCAGGAACTTGCAGTCTATGTCCGTAATAAAAAGTACTCATGTGGAACACACGGAGGATTTCCTATTTGGAAAGAGATCTTGGTAAGTGTTTTCAATTTTAAGATTATACTTTACTCTTAACCTCTGAGGTGGGGTTACTGCGACCTTAATAAAATTTTGACTGGCTTCTACTAGTCTGTTATCCTGTGCCAGTTGTGATGACTCAAAGCACCTTTAAGTCAGTTGTTCTTGAACCGTATGTGTGTTGCTCTGTCGTGTCATATTTTTTACACGATCTTAAATCTTTTTCTTTTGGGTCATCCTGACGTGTTATGTAACTATTTTCTTTAATCTAACAGTTTTGTATAGGTGGAATATATGGCATCAAAACAGCAGTCTATGGACCCTGGTTTTTCAGACTGAGCAAGTTCCATTTTGTATGATAAAGAAAGCATGTCCAGTGGTAAAGATGATGATGAAAATCCTAAAGATTTCATTAGTGACCATGAATCTGCATCAAGATTTGAAACACCATGAACCGTTAAACCACAAAATGGAAATATTATGTTTACGGCATAAATTATTTTAAGTGGTCCAAATAATTTATTTTCTAGAGCCACTGGAACTTGACAACACAATGTAATTACGCATTTTCTGAAAATAACAAGACCAGCTAAGTTTCTTTAATTTTACGGTTTGTCTGCCATTGCAGATAAAAGAAAACAGCATGAAATAAATTGTTTTTTTTTATTTTTTTACGAGTAATGTTTAGTTCCCAAGAGAATTGGAATGCAAGTTATACACTGTGCTTTTAGTCTGTAGAAGTATATTTAATTTAACTGACTTACGTTCTGAAGTGTTATTTGTACTCTAAAATTTAAAATTTTTTTATAATCTTAATATATTTTTAGAAAGTTTACTTTATGTTTCTAGAGTGTTAAAGAAAGCATAGAAAGTATTTTATGATTATATTTTACTTTTTCTTTCTTTTCTAAATTAGAGAAATTGTAAGAAAAGTTCTGGGGTCAGAGTGACCCTACCTTACTAGTTGCATTAGTTTTTTTCACCTCACATGTTAAGAGTTTATTATGAGTTTCATATGCTGATTTAATTAATCTTTCCAGATGTGGAAGTCTGAAAGTATCAGAACTATAAGACAAAATATCTTAGAAAATAACAATTTAATGAATACAGCAAAAACAATTGTGAAATTAAATGAAGGACGATTTGCTTACCTAATGAATACATTCGTAATTCATCACTTAATCAATAATGAAGAAATGCATAAATATGTCATTTCAAAAGACTATTTTCGCACCGTGATGGTTGCTATCCCAATTAGAAAAAAATTTATATTTAAGAAGAATATAAACAACATGTAAGATAAATTTCTATATTTGTTTATATTAATAATTTAATTAATATTTTCCTTTACTTAAAAACAGTAAATTTTTAATAGAGTAATTCGTTTGTTTGAAGCTGGAATTATAGAAAAATTATTACTTTCACGACCTAGAGAATCGTTACTGTCATCATCGCAATCGCAATTTCAACCTTTATCAATCGAAGATATTAAAAGTCCATTGTTATTTATGTGTGTTGGATATTTATTTGCACTAATCTGCTTAACATTTGAAATGATATTCGCAAAAGTATTTAACAATATGACTTGCAAGAAGTTTTATTAAATGTAAAATTTGCAAAATATGTCACGAATGAATTTACTCATATTTTTAGCACACACAAAATAAAATTTTTTAATTTTTTGCCCTGTCATTTAATTGCATTAGATAGAAGCATTTTTTGAATACGAATGATAGTCAATAAATTAAAATAATTATTATAATGTACTGTATTAAATAAAGTTTTATTTTTTACAATGAATTAAGATATTCAAGTTTATTACGATAGTTTTGTATAGCTTTTAAATATTCAAATTAACTATCAATATAATATGTTTACATAAATAAATATGATGTGAAATTTACATTAATAATNGTAATATTGTTTCAGCCAAATAATTTACTTGCAAACGAGGAGTATAATTAGGAAAGTAGTGAATAATTATATAGGCCCTATATTGATAGTTCTTATTAGTTCACAACGCTCTCTGGAAAAATTTTTACACATACTGATGGTAAGCATGCAAATCATATTGCCTTCCTATACCATAAGCACCAAATAAATGTAGGAACCATGCTGCAACAACACTTACTGTTCTTGTTACCGTTAGAATTCACATCATTAATATTTAGAAAAGTACGTTTTTCTGTTTTCAATTATGAAAGATATTGTACAAGGTGCACGACAGCATGACGTTAAAGATAGGTGCCGATAACTGATGCATACCGGTACATGAATTTCTATAGAATGCGCTCGGTTGTGGAGCTCTCGATTTTCTAGGAGAAGTGTCGGATTGGTGTGGAGTTTCGCTATTAAATATTTCAACTGCCTAAAGCGGTAAACATCATGTGACACAGTGCGTACACGTGGAAGGTATAACTTTCACAGTCTAAATAGGCACCCACGAAAGTCGTACCTGCTCATATCTGTCCATTTCATGAATCGAGTACAAGGCAAAAACTTATATAAAATTATACTTCTTGTAGGTAAGTAAATTATTCGGCTGATTATAATATTAGCTCGAAAGTTATCGTAGGTTATAGTGAGCAATAAAGAGTGACAGTGAAATAGACACACTTTTCTGAGCTTCTCCTTGTCAGATTATTTTAATCTATTTTTATTATATCATTTTTATTTATTACTTATGATGATTCCTCGTATATTAGACGATGCAAGTTGGCATTTTTTTACATTTACTAACCAATCGGCGACTTGTGAAAACAGTCTAACTATAAATTGCCGGGAAATATCTCCCCCCCTTCGGCAATGATTTTGGAAATCGAATGTAAACAATCGCTATAAATTCGCTTGTTTTACTCGCGTTTTAAGCTATAAATTGTTAATTAAATATTCTTTGACAATGTATATACGAGTAAGCATGTTCTCAAAACTGTCTAGCAATAAATATTTTGGAGAAACTCTATTGTCTTATCGTATGTTGTTAAGATTAATCATATTCGTTTTGTAAAACGCGCTAAGTTAAGCGTCATCTGTTCATTTTTTATGTCCGGTCATTGAAAGACTGCTCTGGATCGAGTATCAGTTGTATATACAAAAGGTAAATTGTTTACAAACTGAATGTCTATCGTCTGATAAATGTTTACTGTTTTGGTCAATTGTTCACGATAGCAAATGTCTTTTGTGTACGATCCAAGTCAGATGCAGGTTAATAAATGTTCTAATCTTGCTTGAAATTAAAAGCTTGAAATCAGAAGCTTCAAATCAGAAGTATAATTGAGTGCCTTGTATACAGTAAAGTAAAGATGTATGGAGACGGACTCATGAAATCATTTTTACATTTTTAGTTCATTTCTGATTTTAAGTTAGACCAGTAATGTCAAGGCCTGACGAGTAGTTACAGGATCATTCTGGTTCTTCTCGTTAGAACACGTTTTCCGGAAAAGGTCGTTTATCCTGAGAAATGGACACGTTAAGACAAGTATGCCAACTGAAACAGACTTGCAGGAGAACTACCGATTCAGCTCCTGATTGGTCGGCCAAGGAATCTAAAAAGTATATATAAGGCAATGCCATCGTTGAAACCAAGAGAAACAAGCCTGGCCTAACAGACTATAATTGATTGCCTTGTATACAGTAAAGTAAAAATGTACGGAGGTTTTTTGATTGATTCAGAGGTCGAGAATATAGTATATGAAGATGTTTCTTCGGAAGAAGAATGTGATTTTGTAGAAGATAGATTAGAGAACACAGATACCGAGCAAGAGGAAGACGAAGATATATTAGAAGTCTGCACACCTACAGTTGACTCATCATCTCAAGTTGGAGCCTCGTCGTCACAAATAGGTGAGCATTGTTCTTTCCTAGCTCGCGATGGGACCAGATGGAGTATGTGGGAATATCCTACAACAAAGACAAGAAAAGAGAACTTGATTTATCTTAAACCTGGTCCTATTGGAGAGGCTACAAACGCGAGGTCTGTTTTTGAATGTTGGAATCTCTTCGTAACAGATGACATTTTAGATACCATACTCATACATACGAACCAACAAATAGAAAAAGTGCAATCGCATTACGGAAGAGAACGTGATGCAAGTACAACAGATCTTCCGGAAATAAAAGCTCTAATCGGTTTATTGTACCTCGCTGCGTATAAAAAGGTTAATCGCTGTCACGTTAACGAAATGTGGACAATGGACGGTACAGGATTAGAAATCGCAAGAACGGCCATGTCGGAGAGACGTTTCCGCTTTTTGTTAGCAAATCTCCGATTTGATGATAAACAGACGCGAGGTGAAAGACTAATGTTTGATAAATTAGCAGCAGTCCGAACTTTTTTAGATGTATTTACGAATAATTGTATAAAAAATTATAATGTATCAGAATTCTGTACCATAGATGAGAAACTGGAAGGGTTTAGAGGGCGGTGCGGATTCCGCCAGTATATACCAAGTAAACCGAATAAATACGGTATAAAAATATTCTTGCTGGTGGACAGTAAAACTTTTTATACGCATAATTTAGAGGTTTACTGCGGAAAACAGCCAGATGGACCCTTCTCGGTATCGAATTCTGCAGACAATGTAGTGAAAAGATTAACTATGCCTATAGTTAACAGCGGCCGTAATATAACTACCGATAACTGGTTCACGAGTTTCAGTTTGGCTACAGATTTATTGGAAAACAGGTTAACGCTAGTTGGTACCATAAGAAAAAATAGAAGAGAAATTCCTGCAGAATTTTTAAATTTAAAAAATAGAAAAGTAAACAGTAGTAAGTTTGCATTTACTAAGACGATCACCTTGGTCTCCTATGTGCCGAAAAAAGGAAAAAATGTATTGCTTTTGTCGTCATTACATCATAGTGAAGAAATTGATCAGGAAACGGGACTGGCGGCAAAGCCAGAAATAATAACTTTTTATAATAAAACTAAAGGGGGAGTAGATACTGTGGACCAGTTAACCGGAAATTATAATTGCATACGCAACACCAGACGATGGCCTATGATCATTTTTTACTGTATGTTAAATTTAGCAGGAATTAATTCTTATATTATTCACCAAGCCAACGAAAATACATCCAAATTGAATAATAGAAGAGAATATTTGAAAGAACTCTGTATCATTCTAATGCGCGAACATATTGATAATAGGAAATGTATTTTAAATCTTTCGAAAACTATCAGAACGACAGCGGAAAAGATATTTCCGTCTGATCCTGAAGCAGGACCTTCACATTTGTCTGCGGAATGTGTAGAAAAAAAAAGAAGAAGATGTACTGAATGTAAGTCACGGAAAGATAGAAAAACGAAATATACCTGTGTAAAATGCAAAAAGTATCTATGCTTGGAACATGCAATTCAAATATGTAAAGATTGTGTTGAATAGAAATAAGAAACCACCATTTCAACTAACAATAAATATATGTTATATATTTGTTGTTAGCTACAATTTTTTCTTATTCTGAGTGCAATTTTTTTCTTATTCTGAGTTATATGTTAGCATATTATGTTTAGAATGTTTACAAATATTATATAAAGACAAAAATAAAAAGTTTTTTTGTAGCTTTCTAATTAAATTTTGTTTTATAGTTTTATTTGTGTGTTTCGTTTTAATTTTTTAATATAAAATCCTTTAGCTAGAAAAAAGAATTCCAAAAGTGAATAGTATTTTTCGGATAAATAAATAAATAAAATTGCTATTTTTCCTTAAAAATTAGGCTAAAATTGATTTGTTTTGAGGTGTCTATTTATTGCGAGTAGACGCCCTTAGGCGTATGTCACGTGACTTTTACGTTAAGTGATGATGCGAAGTACACCTTTAGGTGTGAATTGCTTAAAAATTTGATTAATTTGCGTTATATTGGAGTTTTTCAGCCATCTTAGCTTTAATTTGCTCTTCTCTAGGTCGATTGATTTCGTTTAAGCCAATAAGTGTTTTGTTACCACCCCTGGCCAATAAATATTTCGGTAAATACATCCCCCTACCATTATACATACTATACTAACAATCAAATGGAAACTTCTAAAGTTTCATTGGGTATCTTCACAGACTAATCACAGACTTGTGAAAGGAAAATATTGCCGTGAAAAGTCCCACCTCCGACCTTTAAAGTGAAATGTAAACAATCACATTAAATTTGCTTTCTAAATCGATTTTTAGTTCTATATAAATAATTTAATGTACTTAGACATTAAGTTAACTAATTCGACAATATTTAGGCAATTAAATGTGCTTTTAAAACTATCTAGCAACAAATATTCCCGGGAAACTCCAACTCTCTATAGTAAGTCTATGGAAGATGTTCTTGCTGTTAATTGGCATTAAAATCTTTGTTTCTACGCCTATTACGCTATAATTGGTATTTTATATTATGAATGATTTAAGTTCAACGAATGAGAATTTTTTTCAGAACCATCTGGTCTGGACATTCCCGCAAAGAACCAATCCACGTGATTAAAGTCAGAATGTAAGCAAACGTTACAAATAGCTATCTTCTTCATTTTAGAGCCGTAATTCTGGTAATTTTACTCCTGAATGTTTCTGACAAAGCAAACATTTGTTTAAATAACGTCAATAAAAATGAAAATTAGCGAAATTAGAGCTAAAAAAGATGAAAATGGCGATTAACTAACATTTATTTACATTCTGACATTAAAAGAAGGAGTAATTCTTATCGCAGTCAATTTCCCACCAGACAATTCTGAGAAGATGCTTACTAGATCAAACGAAATAAAAAAAAACTAGAAGTTAGCTAATTAGGCCCTAAACATTATGGAATTAGATATAAAGTAGTAAATTACAACTACGCGACAATCGTATTGCGTAGCTACCATTATTCTAAATTCTAATAATCTACATTAATCTGATAAAAATACTTTTAATTATTATCTGCAATTATTATCTATTCATTTTTCATCGCTAAACAACAAAACAAAACTAAAACGAGAGCGTAAACTACATTTTAAGTAATTATAAATGAAATCGCTGCATTTAATCGCGTTACGACTTTTTTGTCGCGCAAAACGCAACGCGCGACAGGAAAACACAAAAATAAATTATGATAATACAAATTGTGAAAATTAGAAAATTTTTGATAATTGCATTTTTGTAACATTCAGGTATTGACATGGATGTATTTTTTAAGTATTATTTTGTGAAGATTTTATATTATGAAGAAAATTTACAGAATCGACAACATGTAAATTGCCAAATTTTTGATGGTTCACCCATTATTTTTTCGATCGCTTCATTTCATGCAGAAAAAACATTTATAACTAAACTATCAGCAAATAATTTTGATGGATTCTATAATATTTTCAACGATGTGAATTTTTAAAATAGGTGATCGAGTTAAGCCTAACACACGACTATATCAGATAAAAAATTAAAAATAAAATTTATGTCTAAAAATCTTACAAAACTATCTATTAAATCATAAAGAATGGTCAGAGAATCAAAAGGCTTTGTACCGACAACGCAAAAGAATACTTGTCAAAAGAATTTACTAATTATCTTGGAGAAAACGGAATAAGGAGGCAGTTGACAGTCGAGCATACTTATCAACAAAACGGAATAGCCGAATGAACAAACAGAACTCTCGTTGAGATGGCGAGATGCATGATGATTCAATCCAATCAATCAATCAATTAATCAATCGTTGCTTTATTAGTACAAATTTGTACATACCTGGCCCCGCTTTTATAGCATTACCAGGTGAAATTATATACAGTAGACTCCCCTATAACGCTTAAATACGTTCCACTTTATAAGAATTTTACGTTCTAGGAATCCTTAAATACATGAGCCAATCACAGCCCGACACGTATGAAGTTTACGGACTAAGGCTGTTTGAAACGTTTTCTTCCATAAAATTAACCGATTCTAGACTAATTCGACTCAACATTTCCAAAACATGTATAATTTTTTGGAAATAATCCGTATAAACTATGCTATAAACAAAAAATTGTAGGATTACTTACCAAGTGTGCACCGTTCGACTACGCCGTTGCTTACGCTTGTTTTCGTCGTGGAGCAGCGCACCAAACGGCGGCCGCGTTTTCTGATAAGTTATTTTTCTGCGAAAACTTCGTTGAACTTTGGAGACATCATTAATATAAATAATTTT